TTAAATAAATAGTAAAACAAACAAATTTGTGAAAAATCAATGACATTTATATCATTTCATTGGGATGTTTATTTATTCATTTCATCTATAGTATTTCCCACCACTTTCCTCAACTGAAAAAGTTTCAATCACAAGCTCCGCTAATTCCATTGGGGTCTGGCTAAAATTAAATGAAAAGCATGCATGGATACACATGGATAATCCACTTGAAAAAAACACATCACCCTTGGCTTGCTATTTTCAACAAACTGTGATTTGCAGCAGGACTGAGCACTTTTGATTTATTGTACCAGCTTTGGTCTATTATAATGTCGGTAAAGGTGTAAAAGTTCTTACTCACAGCTGCTCTCCAACAAGCGAGGAGTTGCGAGAGGTGGATTTGGGAGAGAGGTCGTAGTCGCTGTCCGAGCGGTAAAGGAAAGACTCCCGCCTTTGACCGTGACTGGCCATGTTGGGATGAAGAACCAAACCAGAGCCCGGTGAGGCCTGCAGGTCCAGTGGACTACAGCCGATAGAGGGGCCATTCTCCACCTCCAAACTACACAGAGGGACACAGAAAAACAACTTGGTGATCAGATGAATAAAATACCACCCCATAAACTAAACAGTTAGTCTGCCATGTGAAAACAACTGATGTTCTGCATTCAAAATCATACTCTTTATATATTGTTTAAATCTGCCCATCAAAATGAAACAAATTTGTGGTTGTCGTTTTACAAAATGGTCTGACATTTTCCTCCTGTCTATGTGGGTGGTTCATATATAAGCTAGAAAGTGGACTAGACTGAATAACTTTGCCAAAGAGAAAACAGTAGCAGAGGACAGATCACGAGAGACGAAGAGAGCAACATAAAAGGTTCCTGAAGCAGAACAAAGCGGATCTAGAAAAGCTCAGAAGCCTAAAACACAAGCCTGACTGAGTCAGTGTATCTCCACTGAATGAAGATATTAGTTACAGAAAAAAATGCAAAAAAGAAGGATGTCGGAGTTTAAAAGAGAGAAGCAGAAAACCATCGAGAAGCATGTACTGCAGTCAGTGCAAGAGCTAATGGAAAACAACATTGACTGATTGGGAAGAAAGGAATTGAAAAATTGATGCTTTGAAGTGAAGGTCATTGAGTTGGCTGCATCAGTGAGAAAGCAAACGGAACCATATGAGAAAGACAATTTTACTTCAATAAAAATAAATACTGAAAAACAATTTCTGTCTTTTCATATCAGGGATATTAGGAGAGTAATATATATGTACACACACACACGTTTCATAGCTGTACATGCGTGATACACCATATGATGTCAACACCATCAGATTTTCCTCAATAAATTACATTCACAGTCAGTATGAAACCATTCTGTAGTTTCAATTTAGTCTTAATCAGTGTTGAAAACTAGATGCACTGCCGTTCAAATGTTTGGGATCAGTAAGATTTGTTTTGTTTGCTTGATGAGTCTCTTATATGCTCATCAAGGCTGTATTTATTTGATCAAAAATACAGAAAAATCAGCAATATTGTGAAATATTATTGCAATTTCTAATATTGGTTTCCTATTTTAATATACTTTAAAATATAATTTCTTTCTGTGACGCAGCGCTGAATTTTCATCAGCCGTTACTCCAGTCTTCAGTGTCACATGATCCTTCAGAAATCATTGTAATATGCTTATTTATTATCAGTGTTGCTGCTTAATACTTTTTTAGAACCTGACATCAAATAAAGTCAAACGACAAGGAACAAAAAAATAATGAAGTCATCAGCTACCCTGTTTGTTAGAGCAACATCTCGGAGATCTCAAATCAATGTATTAGTAGAAGTCATTACTCCACCTTCTGAACATGACATCATTAACGTTGCTAGTTAGTTTCTACAATAACATACTATGGGTGTCAAGCAGCAAGGAAAAGCATGGGAAAAGCACTAAAGTAACAGACTAAAGTCCAGCAACTGAGATTTTAGAGCTCCTAACAACTTGGCATTAGTCAAGTGTACTTAGACTGTAAAGGCTAAAAAGGGAATTCCCATGCAGCACAGTGGAAAAAAGGGGAAACTGGATTTTCCATGTAGAATCAGAATCAGAAGAGCTTTATTACCAAGTATGTTTACACACACAAGGAATTTGATTTGACGACAGGAGCTTCCAGTGCAGAAGAAAGTACAGACATAGAGCAGACATACATGATACATAGGAATAACACAGTAGGGATGAAATATAACACTAATATAAGAAAAAAAAACAGAAATTAAATAATGTACTATATACAGAAATAGAAGTATAGGAAAAATTTTTTTAATTGTTTAGATAAATGTACAGATATGTTATAAGTGTGCAGATATGTTATTTACAAAGTGTGCAGTTTACAAGTGTACAAATTTTGGATTCTGTGTATAAATATGTCAGTTGTGATGGACGATGTATAATTATGAAGGTTTAATTGTTCAGGCTGAATATAGCCTGCTTTTGTGCCTGGCTGTTCTAGTGGTCAGTGCTCTGTAGCATCGACCAGAAGGCAACAGTTCGAAGAAAGAGTGGGCTGGGTGTGAGGGGTCCAAGGTGATTTTCTTAGCCCTTTACCTCACTCTGGAGATGTAAAGATCTTGGAGGCTGGGCAGAGGGGCACCGATGATCCTCTCATTGATTTGGCCAAAAAAGTGCAGGGGGCGAATTTACATTTTATTAAAAAGTGTTTATGTATCAGAGATGTTCACAAGTCTTTAACTTGGAGTCTGAGTCAAGTCTGAAGTCTTTATCGCTGGAATCTGAGTCAAGTCTCGAGTCTTTGACTCAAAAAATCTCATTCAGAATCCTCATGTATTGAAATCTTTCGTATTTTACGAAACCATACAAATAAAGTATTTCTTTATTATATAAGTCAGGGGTATTCAATTAAAGTTCCAAGGCACGCCCTCTATATTTTCTTCCAAGCAGAGGTCTGAACAAAAAAAAAAAAGTTATTTTTTTACATCAGAATCAGAATCAGAAGAGCTGTATTACCAAGTATGTTTACACACACAAGGAATTTGACTTGACGACAGGAGTTTCCAGTGCAGAAGAAAGTACAGACACAGTGCAAACATACATGATAGTACAGAAATACATAGGAATAACACAGTAGGGATGGAATACACTAATATAAAAAAAAAACAGAAATTAAATAATGTACTATATACAGAAATAGAAGTATAGATAAAAAATGTAATTGTTTAGATAAATGTACAGATATGATATAAGTGCAGATATGTTATTTACAAAGTGTGCAGTTTACAAGTGTACAAATTTTGGATTCTGTGTATAAATATGTCAGTTGTGATGGACGATGTATAATTATGAAGGTTTAATTGTTCAGGCTGAATATAGCCTGCTTTTGTGCCTGGCTGTTCTAGTGGTCAGTGCTCTGTAGCATCGACCAGAAGGCAACAGTTCGAAGAAAGAGTGGGCTGGGTGTGAGGGGTCCAAGGTGATTTTCTTAGCCCTTTACCTCACTCTGGAGATGTAAAGATCTTGGAGGCTGGGCAGAGGGGCACCGATGATCCTCTCAGCAGTCCTGACTGTCCGTTGTAGTCTCTTGATGTCTGATTTGGTAGCTGAACCAAACCAGACAGTTATGGATGAACACAGGACAGACTCAATGATAGCAGAGTAGAACTGTTTCAGCAGCTCCTGTGTCAGGTTGAATTTCCTCAGCTGGCGAAGGAAGTACAACCTCTACTGGGCCTTTTTAGCAATGGAATCTATGTGAGTGTCCAACTTCAGGTGCTGAGAGATGGTGGTTAACCTCCTGTCTGTAAGCAGACTCGTCTCCGTCCTTGATGAGGCAGATGACTGCTTGACAGAGGGGTCTTTTGAAGTGCAGTCATTCGTGTAGAGGGAGAAAAGCAGTGGGGAGAGAACACAACCCTGAGGGGCGCCAGTGCTGATGGTGATAGTCCTGGATGTGAGTTTGCCCAGCCTCACTAGCTGCTGCCTGTCTGTCAGGAAGCTGATGATCCACTGACAGATGGAGGAGGGCACAGAGAGCTGTGTGAGTTTGTCTAAGAGAAGGTCAGGCATGATGGTATTGAAGGCCGAACTGAAGTCCACAAATAGGACCCTTGTGTAAATCCAGCAAGGGTCCAGTGATATCCTTCAGGTAGGCCAGGACCAGTCGCTCAAATGACTTCATGACCACAGACGTGAGAGCGACAGGTCTGTAGTCATTAAGTCCAGTGATTTTGGGCTTTTTGGGGACCGGAATGATGGTGGAGCATTTGAAGCAGCAGGGAACTTCACACAGCTCCAGAGATCTGTTGATGATCTGTGTGAAGATGGGGGCCAGTTGGTCACCACAGACTGTCAGCATGTAGGACAGAATGTTGCTCAACCAACCTAAATAGGCTGAGCCTTACCTTTGTTCATTGTAATATTACTCTAGCTAAGTGTTCATGGGAAACCATGGCATGACCACAGCTACTATTAGAGAAAGTAATATTGGTCGGCTTATATCAATAGTAGTGGTCATGACCTCTGACTATAGGGAAGTATTGCTTTGATATGTATTCAAGTGTATGTAGGTCGATAGGGACTAGATAAAGTACTTTTAAAGAAGAGCAAGCATGGCTGGTCATCTAAATAGCATTAGTCAATTAGCACTGTCTAATGATCAAGACCGCTGAGTTTGTGACCATGAGATCCACATACATGGCCGGCGTGAGACTCTGAACTAATACAATCAAAAGTAAAGAGTGCAATAGGGTAATCAAATATCTCAAAAATTATTATAAGTATCAATGATCAATGATCAACTGGCATTGCAGCTCAAAATCTAAAGCCATTATAAAATGAATTCGTAAGATTTTAACTGAAATTGAATTACCGAAACGACTGAACACATTGGATTCCATTGTTTGACCAGTTGGGTGAGCCTTACAAAACATTTCACATTATAGTAAACATTATGGTCATATCTAGCAGTTTTCTATTGAGTGACTGAGTATGGAAATAAATGCCTTTTCTGAAAAAAATGACAAAATTGGAAATAGGCTGCATCCTTGCGTGCTTAAATGTATCATTAACATATGTGCTAATATTTTATTGCTTAGGTATTATAAAAGTGTCTACTAATCCATTGTCTGTTTTGGGTTGACATCATGAACAGAAAGAATGTAAAACAACTATAAAAGAAAGCACACTGAGAAGGCATCTCAGCTGACAGAAAAACAGGCCACCGAGTGACACGGTTAAGAGGAACTGGGGGAAATGACATTGGGCGTTGTGCCAGAGGGTTGCGAAGGGTGTCTGACGACAAATTCATCATGGAATAAAAAGCTGTCAAAGCCCTTGGTAGAAGAGCCTAGCAACTATCACCTCCTCTTACATGTGTGTCTGTGGTAATAGGCTGGTTTTTCAAGAGTCTAGTTACTGGTGAAAATGCAGCATCATCATAAGTGGCGTCTGGAGGGCAGAAACTCTACAGGGAATTTGAGAAAACAACAGTGTCTTTTTTTTTTTTTTTACGTTTTCTGAAAATGTGAATAGTGCCTGCCCAAGAAAAACTCACCAATG